TGTCGGGAGACCCACCTGCGCTCACGGTGATGGCCTCAAGGAACTGCTCCCTCCACGAGTGTGTCCCTATCACCAACGCCAGGTTTGTCTTCTTGATCAGCTTGTCCACTGTGTTCTGCAGAAGAGGAAGCAACAGAGGGGCAATGGGGGGTTGTGGGCGTTTGTTGGTGTTTGTGCTGAATTTCCTGAGTTTGGGACAGGAGGTGGGATCCAAGAGACTAAGTTGGGTGGCTCTTTCAGGGAAAAATGAGTTAGATACTTCTTCTATAGCTTTAGAACTGCAGAGCAAGCAGGGAGACCCTCTGGACCATCGAATCCAGCCCTTGTCAAGGAGTCCCCATGGGGGGAATCGAACTCCCAACCTTGGGCTCTTCAGCCAGAGACCTAAGCCACAGCAGGAATATGAGCCCTGAGCGAGCCTTTTTTTCATCACCATGCCATCACTAACCACTCAGAGAAGGGCTACTTCCTTCACTTGCCATTCCGTGATGGCAGTCATGGTCCCTCTCTCCATTAAGAACGGCAGCCTCCATCATTTGCCCCCCCCCGTGGCAACAGTTGCCATCACTTGCCGTCCCATGAGAAAAGCCTCTGGCACTACTTGCCACTCCACGAGAGCAGACTCCGGCCCTCAGAGGCTGATGGGGAAGGGCTGAGGAGGCCCTAAGTGTTAGAGGGTGCTAGGATTTGTATAGTTGTCAGAGGGGATGGAGACGCTCCCGAGACCCACCCCACCCAACGCCCCTCATATCAAGGGGGTCTCTTGATCCCGAGGGTGTTTCACTGAGAAAAACAGTCTGGTCTATTTGAGGGTCAACGTTTGGGGTGGAAAGGAAGTCTTCAAGACTCTGAGTTCCTCTCCTTACCTTGAAGTCATAAGATTCTTCGATGATGACCTCCAGACGGGAATTTTCCCCCAAAATGGGCTTTCCCATCTCAGCAATCCGGCGGGCTTCCTCTTCCTCGGCCGTCAGCTTCTTGTCCGCATCCTCTGGGTGAGGGAAAACACAACCGGGTTGAAAATACAGTAAAAAGGTTCCCCTTGACATTGAGTCCAGTCGTGTCCGACTCTAGGGCATGGTTTTCATCCCCGTCTCCAAGCCGTAAAGCCAGCATTTGTCCAAAGACAGTTTCCGTGGTCACGTGGCCAGCGCGACTAGACACGGAATGCCATGACCTTCCCACCGAGGTGGTCCCTATTTATCTACTCACATTTTACACGCTTTCGAACGGCTAGGTTGGCAGGAGCTGGGACAAGCGACGGGAGCTCCCTCCACTGCATGGATTCGATCGTACAACTGCCGGTCTTCTGACCTTGCAGCACAGAGGCTTCTGCGGTTTAACCCACAGTGCCATCATGTACAGTAGGACCCCCTTATCCATGGAAAGTGACTCTGAAGGCACCACTCCTCCGTGAATCAATCATATCACCTTGTGCATGAGACCTAGCGCCTTGTGTAGACATATATGTTACACATGGATTGGGTTAGGGGCATACCTTGACTATATTGTCTTTCTCACAGATATAGCTAGCATGGGCTGGCTGGATAGCTCAGCAAGTTAGGTATCTGGCTGGGGAACCAGAGGTTGGGGGTTCGATTCCCCCCCGGGCCTCCTAGGAGAAGAGCCAGCCTGGGTAACCTTGGGCAAGCTGCACCGTCCCAAAACTGCCCCAAGAAGAAGGGAAGGGGAAACTACTTCTGAGTACTCTCCACCAAGAAAACTCTGGAAAAGGTCGCCCTGAGTCAGAATTGACCTGACAGCACATCACCATCATCATCATAGCTAGCATGGAACCATAAGGTACCAGCCTTAGCTGACTTAGCTGTTTATATTCTCTACAGAATGAAGAGAGGTAATGTATTCACTACATTCCAGGCTTCAGCTGAACATGTTTCTTTCCTTGCCATGTAGAAAAGTAGATCCTCGGGGAAAAAGATTAGCCTGAATTCTTTCCCTGGACAAGGAGTGCTTGCAAGAATTAAGATATGTGACTATGTACCTAAAGGGGTGGCAACCCGGACTTAGCTTATCCCTTGATGCTGATGATTGTATCAATGAGCTGTTTCTCTCTTTTTTTCTGGGGCTGAAACAGAGCTTGGAAATGTTAGTCTTTTGAACTACAGCACCCAGAATCCTCCAGGCAGTTGGTCCATATGGTTTCCAAGCGCCAGCCTGGAGCCAGTCCCATTTTGCTTTGCCTTTCTGGCTTCCACCTCCTTTCCTTCCCTCGGCTCTGGAGAATTTCCAAGGCAGGAGCCTGAGCCGAAGCCTCTTTGCCCCATGGCTGTCATTTTCACCCTCTTGATTGCCAAGAGGCAAGATGTTCATTTGCTGAGGCCGTGTGTTCGAATCACGCGGCAACACCCCTACTCGCCCCCAAGAAGGGGGAAAGAAATCTGGAGCCTGGCACGGAGAAAGCACCGTCATCCCTTCTGCGTAACGCATCCTGTTCTCAGGAGGGAGGCAGGATCCTGCCACCGACGAGGAAGCCCCATTCCCTCCTTCCACAGAACTTTCCGAGTTCATCCTACCTTTCTCCCTGTTCAGGCTTCTTCCTGATGCCATGAACAGCTCGAAAGCAAAATACAAGAACTCTGGATCTGAAATTTGATTCCAGATGATAAATTCTCTGCTTGTTTCAAGAGTCTTTAATACCTGGAAGAAAAGTGTGCATTGCACACTCTCTTTCTCTCCCTCCCTCTCTCATGCACACGGTCCAGCTTCTAGTCTCTGTTCTGTACAAAGGCCTCGTGGATGCCACGGCATGGTTTATGAAGAGCGAAAATGGCTCCTGGCTGTCCCCTCTCTGTTTTCGGGCTCCAGAAAGCAAATCTTGGCAGCTCCGGGTGTCAAATGAACCTCCCTGCTCTCCATTTTGCAGAGAAATAAACATCATCTCACACACACCCCACGTCTTCTCACAAGCTGTTCTCCCCTCGGCCCGACCATGCTTCCCACCTCCATGAGTAGATGACACTTCCCACGAGGGCGTGACGGGCTTCCAGCCAAACCTTTCCAAAAACGATCTCGGGCACCACATGTCAGGAACCCAAGGGAACAGGGCCTTGCGTGGTTGTTTCGAAGCACTGCGAACGAGGCCGGGAGAAGATGCTCTTGCGCCCATTGGCTCTGAGATGCTGGAAGAGTTCACAGCCTGGAGATTACCAGGCGGAGGGAGACGGATGATGCGTAGGTGAGGTGTGGATCTGTGGGCCTGTGGCTGACGTGTGAGGCATATGGAACATTTGACCCTGTGGATTGGTCTCAGGGGGCCGACACATGCCTGCCTTCTGATATCTCCTGGTGCTCACATGCTCAGACGCCACGCATGCAAATTCCACCAGAATGCCAGGTATAAAGAGTCTGTTCTTAGGGAATCTCATAAACGCCCTTCACCCTTAAATCTCCTTTCCACTCTCAGCAAACCATCTCCCTTTCAGGATGCTGTGAATTGCTCCATCCCCCACCCACCCCGCAAGCCACATGTTTTTATCTGTCTCTTCCATAGGTTTTCTCCCACACACTCCGTCTCTTCCCAGAATATGGCTAGCGCACCTGTATATGCACACTTCCTCCCACGCACTCTCTCCAATGGCATTCCCCCGACCCCCACACAGCACTCCCCCGCCTTGCCGCAGAGGTTTCATGGATAGCTGTCCCTCTTCGGATCACGCAGGCCATGATGCTTAGCCCCTTCCTCTCAACTGTCCAGCTTCGGAGCTGACTATAGGGACAGGAGATTGAACTAAGGCACCAGCTCCATGAGAGGCCCCCCCCTTGCTGAAACAAGGGCATAGGACCTTAAAGCACACACACGCATGCACACACAAACACACACAAACACACACACACACACACACACACACAGAGAGAGAGAGAGAGACACACACACAGCCTGCCAAAAGATGTTGCACTTCAGATCCCATCAACCTCAGGCAGTTTTGTCAGGGATTCTGGGAAATTTAATCCAAAACCGTACAGTGGGCCAGACGTGAACCACCAATTCAGGAAAATGTTCAAAAGAAGGAAATGATGAGAATCATCTTAGAATTGAAGAGCTGGAAGGTCCCTACGGATCATGGATTCCAGCCCCCCCCCCCAAGGAGGCGCAGTGGGGATTCGAACTCCCAACCTCTGGCTCTCGAAACCCCTGAGCTATCCAGCTGCTCTTCCTACCAGACATTGTGGGTGACATCACTTCCCAGACTCTGCCTCCTTGTCCCATTCTTGTGTCAGCAAAAGACGGGGGTCCTTATGTGCAGAAAGAGGCGGGCTCAATCCTCATTGGCTCCCACGGCATTCCGTGGCAGCGGAAAGGATTCCGAGTTTTCTAATGGGGTGGGAAGGAGCCACGTTGCAGACTTTTGGCCTTTACTTTTGCATTTGGCAACTAAAAAAAGAATCATCCACGGAGGGGGAGAAGCCTTTATCTGAACCTCTAGGAAAATTTCCAGTCCTGCAAAATTAGTTCATGAACTCTGCAGTCCCATATTCATTTGGGACTGCAATCCTATGCATGTACTGATGTGCCATCAAATCAATCCTAACCCTATGAAGGAGAGATTGCCAATGCATCCTATGCTCAGCAACCCAAGGCTGTGGCTTCCTTGATGCAGTCAATCCATCTCATAGCTGGTCTTCCTCTTTTCCTGCTGCCTTCAACTTTTCCTATCATTATTGTCTTTCCCAGACCATCTTGCTTTCTCGTGATGTGCCCAAAGGATGATAAACTCCACTTGGTTATTTTTTTGTTTCTCCCAGTGGAGAGGGATGGTAGAGGAATACATTAGGGGAAAATAATACATTTGTGGGAGGAGAACTGGTTAGAACAGAAAGATCAAGAGGTGAGGGGGTCTTACCTTGATTGAGCAAAAGGGCTGCATTTTAGGGAGCAAAGGTGAGGAAGAAAGAGAAAGAGAGGAGTTAGGTAATTTGTCAGTGAACAGAAGAAAGGTTCGTTATCTAATGAAGGAGACAACAGCGGAGAGGGGGAGGGGGAGGGGATGGATTGGGACACCCATCAGAGGCAATTTGGCCATGACTTCATGCCCCAAGCGCCTTTAGCTTGTAAACAATTCCTCTAGGGGCAGGCTTACAGTGCAATGAGACCAGAGCGTTTCCTAAGACCGGCCCAACCGTTGGGCAAAGCCAGACAATGGCAAACCAGCAGCCATGTCTTAGTTATTCTTGGCCAGAATCTTGCTACATATTTCTGCTGGCCAAAATCTCTTTGGGGGGAGTGGCCGCAAATCTGGAAGTCCATTTAGGCATTTGCAAACTGGTTTCTTCTCCCCGATAGGCTTCATGGTGAACTTTCAGATCCACAGTTTGAAGACCACAATGCAATCTCACGTGGTTTCCCTTTGAGGAGGATTGCTTTCTCGTGCAACAGAAATGTGTTTCTTCGGTCTACTTACCTGAGATGCCTCGTTTCAACCAACGCGGCTGGCCCAGCTCAATAAAGAAGCTGTCTTTTTTCTCGTATTCTTCGACATCCACAATTTTCACATAGAGAGATTTCCTGCCCAGAAGAAAAAAGAGATTGAGAGAGAGAGAGAGTGAGGATTTATTGATGCCTCATTTGGGATAGAACTTAAGAACGCTACTTTTTCGGAAAGTAGTTCGTTATGTAACTTCTTCTGAAGCTTCCCAACAGGGCAATTTCTTTACTGTGAACTCCTTTTTAAACAAAAACAAAAAATAGTGTTTAGTTCCACCATTCATGATATCATTTGTTACTTTTAAGTTCCTCTTTAGGGAAAAAAAAGGCCATCTGAAATAGCAAGAAAACAGTCTAAATGAGTGACAGCCCTGTAAAATAAGTAAGATTTTCTCGTTATTGACAAGCTAACCATGTTAAGGCTGTTTTCACCCTCAGAGCAAGAAACAAAAACCTAAGAGTCATCGCGCTTTAAAGACTAATGGATTTATTTCGGCGTGAGCTGGCATGGATTATAACCCACTTCCTTATATACGGCTCTTTTCTTCTTGCTTCCAAAATTTAACTTCTAGGGCAGTGGTTCTCAACCATGAGTATCTCCTGTTTTCTTGGATTAAAACTCCCAGAAGCCTTCGCCACTAGCTGGGCTGGCCAGGGCATTTGGGGACTCAAAGTTGGGAAGCATGGATTTAGAAGTACTTTGAACTTGGTAGACCTTTTTCAGGCTTTATGTCATTTTCTTACCAACTCTCCACATCCAACATAATAGAGAGGAATGCAATGAAAAAAGCCTTCATGAATAAAATAGTCTTCTTCATGCATGATGGTTGTGTGTTGGTGTTAGTAATATTTCACTACCACTGTTTTCATTGTGGCAAAAGGCTATTTAAAGAGATCCATTTGAGTTCGACCTCAAGGGACCGTAGAAGGACCAGGTCTAGGAACTAAACAAGGAAAGAGATTCGTGTTGCTGTCCGAGGTGCTGAAACAAGTTCTCTCGCTAGACCTACTTCTGAATTTTTGAGAGATGTCTTTCCTTTGCACATAATTGCCCTTTACAGCTTAAGTTGCTATTGCAAAATCTGGGCCCTCCAATCATTCTGGCATGATTGTAAAAACATCATTTTCTCAACATGTTTATTCACCACGCTTCTGTATCCTGTCATTTCTTTAAGGAGGTCATATCTGGCGTTTTCCCTTTAGGGCCAAAGCACACATTTAGAGAAACCTCTTTCTAGAAGGAGTGCTCCCTCAGATGAGCAAAAAAGTGTGGCTGTGAAAGAACAATAAAATGAGAAGCATGCATCGAGGCAACTGTAAATATTGTAAGAAGAGATAAAGTTCTTTTATCAATGTATTTAGGCCCTCAGTTTTCAGCTCTGCGGCTGAGGGGATTTGAAACTAAAATTCTTCCAACAGTTCCTCTACAAGTATATTTATAACAAACATTACAGCCACAAAATTAAATGCAGCCATCTTAATGCATCTTTAAAGTAAATAAACATAAAAATATTCTGTTGCAACAAACACACAACCCACATCAACCATAAATTGGTATTTTTCTGAGGTCTGGTAATATCACAATTATAATTTCTCACAAACTCATATAGAAAACTGAGAATAGTATTCTTCAGACAAATCTCCCAAATGAAATAAAATTTTATTTACAGCAGTACAGCCTTGTTTCCCTAGGTATGTCAAGTTTCCTTACTGGCAGGCTTTGAACCTCTGTTTTCTCCAAGAATATACCTCTTTTTATGACTCATCTATAAAGTTTGTCATGGGTAATTATTCATTTCATTCCACCCACTATTTATTGCATTTCCCCCCACCCCATATTTCTGAAGGAGACGTTAAAGTCTCCCGACACAAAGTCACATAAACACACACAAACACACACACACACTGTAAACAACTGATTAAATATTCACCTTCCCTGTTTCAATTCATTTACATGTAAGTGAAATCTCATGGGAACAGAAACCATCATTCTTTGTTACAAAACTTTGTCTCAGGAATCTCTGTCTCCCTACACACACAACTAAAAGAGTATAGAATGCCTCTGAACATGAGCAGAGTTTAATTCTAATTAGAAGTGTGGAGATATGTGTTCTTTGGACTACAGTTCCAAGATTTCCTGTGCTACTTGGGGAATACTGGGAATTGTAGTCTCACATAAATCTGCACATTCCTCCGCTTCTAATATTCCTAAATAAGCGGAACAAGATTTTCCTCATCCACTCCCACGGATAATGCGTATAAATAGAAGTTTAGGTTACATGCAAACAAGAAGGTGAGCTAGAACAGTACTGTGTTTATTTAAAACTTGATGATTGATTGATTGATTGATTGATCCCGTGTTTATGCAACTGCTCTCCCGATGAAGGGATATGTTTAAGAAACATCCCAGCCTAATAATATTCTGAGGAACCAGAGGCTGGGAATTTGATCCACTTCTGCGCAATTTGTACCTAATTAAACCCTGAAAAGGGTTATTTTAAGTCAGAATTGACAGCACATTCTTATTCCTATTCTGAAAACTCTCACCGGTGTTTTGCTCCTTATCAAAGAAATCCATTCGAGAAAACACGGGAAGGGGAACATGGGTCCACAAGCTGGAAAAACAGTCTCCCGGGTGCATTAGTGACTACAAAGCCCACCACAGTATATCCCCTGAATGCCAGATATGGTGAGCCGTAGCAGAGGAAAATGAGTTTAAAGCTGTCCTGTTGGGTGCTTGAGAAAGATGGAGGTTGACTTAGAAAAATGTCTTCCTTTTTACCCCTTTCGTCATACACCTAACAGGACAGATAGCACATTCTCTCCCTCCCCCGGAGACTTCAGCTCCCAGAATTCCTTGCCTTTGGACACACCGGCAGAGGCTTCTGGGAGTAGAAGTTCAAAATGCTGGAAGACTGAAGGTTGAAAGCCACTGCTCCAGACAGTCAACTGTTGGCCAGATAAAGACAAGAAAAGGTCCCTTTCTGGACCACTACTTTTTGGAATACCCTAGCCATCGTGAACAGTGGGGCATTCTGGGATTTGTAGTTTTAAAAAAACCATAACATGGCCAAGCTTTGGAACAGTCATGGGGGATATCACGGACGGCTCCTTCCTGAAAAAGCATCTCTTCAGCATCCACACAGCGCTTGCAGCAATCCTCAGCTCCTTCCCACGTCTACCTGCATGGGTAGCAACCTCCCGGTTGTGAAACATAACTCGGAAACGTTGTGTGTGTCAGGAGGTTGGCCAAAAACTCTGAATTCTCCATGTCCAGCCTGGGGGATTCTGAGAGCTGTTATCCCTCCCCAAAAAAACAACTTTTTCTGGGCATTGAAGTCACGGAGAGAAGGCCCTTTTTGTCACTTGTGTGAACCACCTCAACGGACCTCCTGGGCCTCGTTCCAGGGTTAGCATAGCTCCCAAACTGAAAATATCCATCCAGAATCCCAAAGCCTTCAAATTATACTCCAGAAACAGCAATTTTCACATGATCTCTCTTCTTCTACCTTTAAAACACACACACACACACACACACACACACACACACACACAGATAGAGAGAGAGATAGACATGTTTTCCATTTTTCTTTCATCTCGACTTGGAGTAGGCTGCTGGAAATCGGCATCCATGTAAACGACTTGGCACACTGGGGATGTGAGCAAACACCATCGCTTCCAACTCCCTTGGTCAAGCCACAGATCCTGTGACAGAGGGAAGGATTGGGTGCCCATCTTCTATGAATGGGTGGATCGAGGCCCTTATTAACCCTTTCCGAACCTTCAGAAATTATGCACAGAACTCACCACCGCCCCACGGTGTTGGCCTAGATATTAGATCATGGTTTCTTTCCATTTCTGCAAAGATTTTTTTTGGTCATAGTCTGGCGTGTTATTTTGTTGTTGTTGTTTTATTTTGTTTTCTCCCTTGCATGCTGTTGTCCATGATGATGATGGTGATGATGTTTGTGGACATTCTTTGTTTGTTTGCCTGCTTGCTTAATGTTGTTTATTGACATGTTTCTATGGAGGAGAATTGCCGGATAGCTCAGTGATTTAGCTTCTCCGGCTGCAGAACCAGAGGTTTGAGAGTTCGATTCCCCCGCTGGGTCTCAGCTTGCTTAATGTTGTTTATTGACATGTTTCTGTGGAGGAGAATTGCCGGATAGCTCAGTGGTTTAGCTTCTCCGGCTGCAGAACCAGAAGTTTGAGAGTTTGATTCCCCCACTGGGTCTCAGCGATCCAGAGGGTCCCTTCCAGCTCTGCAGTTCTAAGATTTTATGTATATAAGACTATATAGAATATATATAAGATTATTTAAGCAATATATGTATGCAAGC